TCAGTGGGCTGTAAGCATGAAACAAGAGCTTAAGTAATACTGACCTTTAAAATAATTCATTTTCTTTCTTGGGGCGTATTTGTTTCTTCTTAGATGCCAAGTATTAGCAATTTAAGAAAGCAGAACTGTTGGCTGGGGAAACAATTACAAAAAAAATCTATTTCATCACTCAAAATGTAATATATTTGTATGTATATATAGCTACAAGAAGAGACCTTAAAGCTCATCTGGTTCCAAAACTGTGCCATGGGATGGTTGCTCAGAGCCCTGTCCAACCTGGCCTTGAATATTGCCAGGGATGTGACAGCCACAGATTCTCTGAGCAACCTGTTCCAGTGTCTCACCACCCTCACAGTAAAGAATTTCTTCCTAATGTTTAATATAAATCTCCCCTCTTTCAGTTTAAAGCTATTCCCCCTTGTCCTGTCACTACATGCCCTTATAAAAAAGTCCCTCTCCAGCTTTCTTGTCATCCCTGTTAGGTACTGGAAGTCTGCTCTAAGGTCTCTGCAGAACCTTCTCTGGAGTGAACAAGCCCAACTCTCTTAGCCTGTCTTCATATTTTGTTACTTACATTTTTTACAGTGGACCTTAAAGAGCTGTAAAAAAAGGGAGTATTAATACTGCCATTTTGCAGAAGCTCAAGATCATGCAAACCCAGAAAATGGATCTGCATACTAAGTGTCCTGTGTTTGTTCTGACCACTAGCTTGCACTGTTTCCACTCATGAAGTAATGGCATTGAGGTATCAAAGTATGATAGACTGTTCTGTCTAAATGACTTTATATCCATCAGCAATGTCCACTCAGGTGTGCTAGAATTCATGGATACTTTAAGAGTACATCTACAGATATTAATTCTTATCAAGAAACTTTTTTTTTCAATGTATGCAGCAACTGCAGTTGTTTAAAGACTAATGTATAAAGATGATACATATATATATATATATATAAAGAGAGAGACAGGGAGAAAGAGAGAGAGAGATTCAAGATTTGGTATAACTTGTATGAAAGCAAACCCAGCAGTTAAGTACCTCTTATTATGCCATTAAACAGTATGCAAGAGAAAGAAATATACTACAATAGCATATTAGTGTTGTGTATAATATCAGTTTCTTCACTCAGCTTCTCTCAGCGTAAACAATTCATGAGAATAAGAAGTAGAAAAAGGGAAGTTTATGTGGGAATAAACTGAAGCCTATAAGGAAGTCTGTGGGGGTGTAAACTTCAAAGAGCAACAGCACACAAATTTGATTTTTTTTTTAATTTGTGATAAATTGGGAACAAAATTGTAACCTGAAAATCATTATAACATCTGAGCGATCAATGTCAAATATGTTGGAGTTTCTTCTTGAGTTTCAGTTTTATTTCAAGCTTTGCAGTGTACTTCTATTAAGCAAAAAGATATACTACACACTCTTTATATTTAGAAATCTTCTTACAACTGTTATTAATAACATTAAGAGGTGTGAATCAATTAATAGAGAATTTTGAAATATTTTAGTATATATCTCTTATGAATGATCTATTCTGTTTTCTGTACAGTTTTAGCATCTCAGTCACTGCTTCTAGATAAGTACTTCTAGAAATAGATTTTAGGTCTGACATAAAGAGCCAGAAAGCCAAATCAAATTAATTTTGCCCCCCCTTTTTTTTTTTTACTAAATAACTGAGGTTTATAACTAATTACAACTGTATAATTAACGCCATGTAATTAAAATGCTGAACCAGTGCAATATACACTGACTGATAATTTTATGCTTCTGAGAGCATCCTCCACAGCTATTACTTTTACTAGAGGCAGAAATAAAAAGTTGTACAATTCACAGTAATTACAAGAAACCAGAAAACATTTCAGAATAATGTAGCACAGTAATTGAATAGTTACCGTGCACTCAAACAGTTTCAGCTGCAGATTTGTGAGCCTTAATGCCAGTTATTGAAACTATGGTTCACACATGTAATTGTGGGTTTGGAATTCAATGGAATAAAATAAATTATTTAATTATTTTGCTTTCTTGTGTATTGCAAAGTACATTAAGTTATTTTCATTAGGAATTTTTTCTCTAATTAGCATAAGAACAATCAGTCATGACATAAAGGTATACCTTTGAAAAAGTCAAAGGAGCTGGGTTTTATTCAGTAATGAATGGCTACATAAACAGTTTTCAATTATCAGGGAACCAGAGGAATTAGGCGTGAATAAACCCCTTTGCAATTATTCACCAAGTTTTGGATGACCTTTCAGTTACAGTATTTCTCTAAACTGAAGCTCGATCTGTTTTTGCAATCGTTACTGTGCCCCAGGAAGATTTTGTACCAAGAGCAGTACTTGTAAAGCAGAACCGCCTTCCCCTACTATCCTCCCCGCAAATTCTGGGTGAAAGGGTGAGCACAGATTTCCACTCTTCACTCTTGCTTTGTGCACTGGATGGCATGTAGATGTTAGTAGGGACTATATTCTGTCTCTGAACAGGATTCTTCTGTATCTAATAGGACTTTTGGCCAGTATGAATTATATATGTAAAAATCAGGTATAATAAATAAATTTAAGGAATTTAAGTATTAAAAAATCATTAAAATCATAACATTGACTTTCACTGAGAATAATTCGGGAGTATGCAACAAAAAATTCAGTATCTCCTTGTTAAGAGTCTTCAGAGTTAAGAATTTGGCTGTTTGCACCTATTTGTAAAGTGAGAATCTAAAATTAGGCCTCATGACTACTTGAGAATGACTTTGGGTATAAGTAAATAATAATAGCAAGAGCTTGTTTCACACCCTTTGTGACTGAACTGTTTCCCAGAGGAAAACAGTAGTTTTCAACATGAAAGTTTTATATTTTTATGAATTTACACTGAAAGTGAAATCTAGAATATGAACTAGCTTTTTTAAGAATGCTTTTTACTTCATGGAGAGATATCAGAAGGACCTAGTAAAGTCTAGTCTTTCAACTGATTTGCAAGATTTTTCACTGTTATCCACACAGGAACTTAATTTTTTTTTTCTACGTTTCAGCTTTGGAATGATCTTTAATGTCTATTAGGTTAGCTATTTGCCTAACCTACAGCTTAAGTTAAGAGAGGAAGACTCCTCAGTTACAATCTATCTTAAGAGGACAGTTCCTCAAAAGGTGTATCTTTTTTTCTTCATTGAAAGTGGCTGCATCATGGCTTAACTGAACACCAGGCTACAGTCAGGTGAGGAAATTCTTGTCCTAAACATCATCTCAAATTGTGAAAACAGGGTTTGTTACTTAATTTTAATCATCTATTAGGAGGGTAATTAAGCCAAGACAGCCTTTTAGGTCCTCTTTTTAGTCAACAGAGAAAGACTGATACCTTCAGAAAAACAACAGGTAAGACTGCATCTACCCTCTACTGTCTCTAGAGAGGCAACAATATTAAATTCAACATTAAACTTTTGACATGAAAATCAAGAGACGGAGTTAGAAGAGCATTTTATGGATTTTAAATTTTATCCCCTTTCTTGTAGAGGTTGATATATTTCTTTTTGGAGAACAAAAATACTTCACATAAGTACAAAGAGAAAAAACAAAACTAAACCCGGAATAATTAAGAACTGTAGTTCAAAATGACAGCTCCTGTGATCTCAAAAGGCAAGCATAAGAATATGTTTGTTCAATGGCAGTTAAGGTAATGCTATGGACTTCTAAATCTAAATTTGAAATTCTGTGTTTCACCATGCTTGTCAACTCTGTCATGTTACTAGCTTTACTATTACTACCTTCCATTCAAAAATGGTACTTTATGCAGACTGAAATATGAAAACTGCCTTGGAGAAGTTAAAGTCATATTGAAAATCCAGATGAGATGGAAGATTAATCATATGTTACATACTGAGCAAACTTTTTTCCTCTGCATAGAAGTAAGTCTGAAAGTGGAATAAAACAGTACAAATAATAGACAAGAATTTATAATATTGGTCCATTTAAGAAATGTATTCAGAAATTCAATAATGATTCAGATAGATGCATTATCTTCTAGGACTGTAGTGTGAAGAATTTCTCTATGTTCCCTTAAAAGCACAAACATCTAGAGAAAAAGATTGTTTTAAGATGTTGATTTTTCTTTTTCCAGATAGGGAGGACAAATTTCTTGCCAATATCAATTCACACTATTTTTTCTCTTTGCTATTAGTCATTTTGTCTATATTGTGCTTGAACTTTGCTTATTTGTTCTACCTTAAAAGAACTTAAGGTGATGGAAATGCTTATCCAGAATTTCTCCTACCTATTCCCCTATAAACATGATAATCTTTAGCTGAAAAATAAATGAGCAAACACATTACATGATAAAAAAATAACTTCTATATAATGGAGAGCCACAGTCTTTCCACAGTGGTACATCTCAAATTCTCATTAATGTTTTCCAACTAATACATAAGAGTTCAATTTTGGCCCAATAACTTTTCATTATCTGAATACTTTTATTAAAACAAGATAAATGACCTATTATACTACAAGTGAATAATTTGCTTCATTCATTAACGAGATAGATTTCTTAGTCTGCCTTTCCTGGGCAATAGAATTCCTCCCTTCTTCTAAGTCATGAGATATATTTGTTTAAGCAAGAAAAATGAAATTACCTTCCTTCCAAATTTAGTGTTACACATCTTTATATGAAATTTAGAATTGGGTTCAGTAGAATAAATATAGTCTCTTTTTGCTTTCCTCAGTTTGCTTATTGCTGTTCTACTGATTTCAACTGACAGAAGCATTTTGCTGTGTGGGAAGCAAGGTAAATGCAGAAGGAACTGTGAATATATTAAAATTTTTATTTAGCTGCATCAGAAAAGAATGACAGTAATTCACTAATTTTGATAGAGACCTCACTTGTAGTACAATATTCATTGACCCTGAAACATGTAATGTAAAGTAATTTCAAGATGCACAAGCTTCTGTGGGTAACAAAAGATGAAAATCATATTAGAAGGCTTTGCATTTAAATTACACAAAAATCCAAGATATTTTGAACATACATTAGGGCAGGATATGGTCCTTTGAATGTTATTCTCAATGCTCGTACCAGCAGCAACCGTCATCTGAAAAAGGGGGCAACAGAGATTCTGCTGAATGGAACACAGTTTTATACAGTGCTACAGTATATTTAAATTACACCATGTTAACAAGATGAATGTTGTTATCATTCAAGTGAGCTGATCTACGAGAAGAAAAATGTGGCTCAACTGAAATTCACACAAAAAAATTGAAAGTATTGTTACATCTCCTGGCTCATGAGGTGTTGAGTAAATAGGCAAATAGTAAGTCACTTCAGTGTTCTGTAGTGCACTGCAAGAGTGAACTCTGAAGCACTGTCAAAAAGTCAGAGAACTATGGAGAAATAATCATACCTCTATGGCTAGCTTTAATCTGAAGTCTCTACATAAGGCAAGAGATTTACCTGTTTGTGAGGCTTGAAAAAAAAAAAGATCTACTCCCCAAATTAAAATAATTTATGGAAAGACACCAAAAGAAGCCCCTTCAGCTATCTGAAGAATATACATGAGCACTGAACGCTATTTTTACTGCTTTTTAATGACTTCTTAATTTAGTGTAATGTAAAAATCTTCAGAAAGACCTGACTCTGGGCAATCAGACCAGATGACAATTCTTCTGATCACATTTACTTCAGAGGAAATTAATATCAGAAATTTTAAACAAGTTCTAGAAGTCTTTTTTAAACCTCTGATTCAATGTATTGTGACTGCCATTTAAAACAACTCCAACAAACCAAAGAAACCCAAAACAGTTCTAGACCTCTAAACAATGATTTTTTCCATTGTTGTGAGCATATGTAACAATACATACAATGTTCATGCTAATTATAGTTGAGCATCATCATCTCTCAAAGTAAGTACTGACCTACATTTTATTTCTGTGACTGTTTACCAACTCAATTTGGTAAACACGGTATTCAGAACTGACAAAAAGACAGTATTTTTGCATTCAAGTATTTTTAATTGTACAATATAACATTTGGAAAACACAACATATTGCAAGATGTGTTTTATAATTTATGAGGAAGTTAAGCCTGACTGTATATTAATACTGACTTCTGCAGTAAACTAAAATGTGCACATTAACAATATCTTTGATAACAGCCACACACGTATCGATGTGTGAACATCGAACTACATATTGCCAATGATGTTCATTCTGTGATTTGTGAGAGTTTTAAAGTATTTGAAATAGTCTTAACTTTCAGTGTTTCACAGGAGAATTATGATACTTGTGGTAACAAAAAAGAATAAATCTTGAATTTTAAGCAAACTCTCCATGTACATTGCCAAGTTGTTAACTTCCTTCTGTCAGATTTCCCTTCTTTATATTTACCACCCTAAATATTTGAAAATGTTTTTATAATGCCCTTTTATTGTCTTTTTGTTTCTTTTTCTCTTTTTAGGCAATTTCACTTCATACAGAGCAGCTGCTTTTGAAAAGAACATTTCCCTGCAAATCAACTTCATGGTCAAATCAGGTACCATGTTTAGACGTATCTTTTAACACCACTGTTGCTCCATAATTTCATAAGGGAAAAACCGTCCACATTATGTCATCAAGATAAGGTTCAAAATAAACAATATCTCATCATAAGAAAACATAAATATTATAAACATTCATTATAAACTTTCGTTATTTCAGTCTCACATCTTTATTTAACAATTGTTTGATGCTTATTAAATTTAATCTCAATGTTTATACATATACAACTACTGATAAAGGGTTAAAAAATAATGTGTAAATATTTTTCACATTTTTGCACATTTTATTTTACTTATAACTCACACAAAATGTTTTCTGATAATTTTGCATTTTTGTGTGAAAAGGTAGATCTACTGTATACTTTTGACTGCTGCATCTGAGCTCTGTTAACTAATTCATTTTTGTCTGTTATTCATCACTGTTAAAAGCAATATCCTCTGGGTAACTTTAGCCTAATCTTGTAAACAGTTTCCCCTCCTCTTTCCTCTTGTAAAACTGTGACTAAAAGTTTTTTTATGAAAAGTATAAAATGAACAGTGTTGAAATCTAGCAGCTAATAGGTTTAAGGACCAGTATTTTGACTCTTCAGGCCTACTATAGGAAACTTTACATAACTGGAAAGTGTGATCCCTGCTATTTCAAGGCAACAAGGCTATTTCCTTATAGCCATGGTAATTTCCTATCTACCCGGACTTGTAGCACCTAAAATGTCAAGTGTACGAGAAGAGAAATGAAAGAAATAGATTCAATAAAAAGTATAAAATTTGTGCATTAATTCTAAAATTGTTTGTCTTCAAACTATGCATGCTAAGACAAAAACATCATATTGTCATGAAGATTTTACTGGCAATCATTTGAGATAGAAAATCCATGAACGAGTTATTCAGTGTAAGTAAAGCAGCAGTTCTCATCTCATGCATCTTGATAGAATATTTATTCCATTCATGAATGCATCTAATATTCTAGCATCTACTTAATACTTTGTACCCTAGTAACTGTCACTTATTGGAAGCTGTCTATTACAGTTTCATCTTTCTCCTATAGAAAATGCATCAGCATTAAAGCCTATCAAAGGAAAGAAATAGGGTCGAGATAAAAATACCTGAAAATGAAGCTCTAGAACTATATTTTTGCCTGGGATGAGCACTTCATCTACTATTTGCTGTGAAATACATGCACAGGGGCAGATTCTCAATCTGTATCCTAAATGATAGACCCAGAAGTGTTTCCAGGCTTCTTCTCTTCTCTCTTTTGTGTTTCCACAAGGAAAAACCTTGTGTGAGGCTGTAGCACATCTGAAAACATTTTCAGAAAATTCACCCAGAAAAAGCCCTCAAGCTATACCTCCTGGCATTTCCAAGACGGAATCAGATGACAATCACAACGGCCCGCATATGCAGCAAACTGGCCTGCATTTCATAATTAGGTGGAAATAGTGACAAAGGATAAATGGGACTACAATTTCAAGCTTCTGTGGAAGCACTACATTAAACAAAGTTTTAACTAGTCCTGTAAATTAATCTTAGGAAGAACCCAGTCAAAGCTCTGGTAAAACAGGAGCTCTCTTGCTCGTAGTTATGATATCAGCACTACAGCACTAATTTCAAGGTTATTTCCAAAATAAGGACATGAATAAAAAAGAAAGCCAGGTTTTATAATGAGTGGTATCCAAAGCTGCTGGCAAATTCAAGGATATTCAATGAATATATCTAATTTGTTGATATATTGAAGAAACCAGTGAAGAATCTCCCTTAATTCTTTGACTTCTATGATACAGGTAACTGACAAGTGGAATGTACTTATAAGAAAAATAATTATTAGCCTGCTATCACAGAAAAGAAACTCTCCCTCAGAGCAATATTTTATGTTTCTTGACAAAAATTTTGTGGTGACCAGTCTTATATCACTTCCCGCATTCCAAAATGATTTTTAGGTGTTTTAGTCTACTCAGTCTAGGAAAGTGGCTTCAGCTGAGCCTATCCTGAAGTGTAGCTGGTTCCATGTAGTATCTCCTGCATCTCACATGATTACTCCAACAACCAACACCTTCAACTCAAGTTGCTTATTCCATGGAAATTCATAGTTATTCCAGAAAAATTAATTTGACGTCTTATCATATCATCTAAAACAAACAAAACCCTCTAATTTCTTTTAATGTTTGTACTAGAAAACAATGTGAGATTTCTTTTTTTTTTTTCCCCTAAAAAAAATCCAGCAAACCCATCACCAACAACACTTTCACTAAATCTAATGCTTTATATTGCCCCATCTTACTATCAGCTCCCTTAGTATAACACAGTTGTCTTCATGAGAGGCCTCTTGTCTGAATATATCATCTGGTTCTGTGCAGAAAGGGATCTTTTATTGTTGAACCAAAACATACATAATTTATTTTTATTTTTCCATTTCAAAAACCCCAAACCATTTAAGAGACGATCCTTGTTCTTTAATTATACTTTCTCATTCAGTTAAATACTCAGTTACATCTAATGACATTGTAAATATCAAACTAAATGAGTGTTCCTAAATTATCAACTTAGGACTTTTAACTCAATAAAGTTAGAAATGTCTATGCTCTTAAGTCAAGGAAATAAAAAAAAAAAAATAAATCTCCTTTTTATAGCCAGAATTGGTATGTCTCTCCATTTGTGTGTACCTGTAAATATACAATAATTTTGCATGGATAGGATATGATATATACAAAGAACTATCTAAGGACATTTAGCATGGAGAAGGCTGAAGGGAGACTTTACTGTGTTCTTTCAATACTTAAAGGGAGCTTGCAAGAGAGATGAAAACAGACATTTTACATGGGCATGTGTCGTGGTTTACACCATGACAGCATGTAGTGATAGGAAAAGGTTTTAAACTAAAAAGAGCAGATTTAGACTACATATAAGGAACAAATTTTTCACAGTGGGGCTGGTGAAGTACCAGAACAGGTTGCCCAGACTGGTGGTAGATGCCCCACCCCTGGAAACATTCAAGGTCAGGCTGGATGGGCTCTGAGTAACACGATCTAGTTGACGTCCCTGCCCATTGCAGGCAGGTTGGACTAGATGACCTTTAAGGTCCCTTCCAACCCAAACTATTCTATGATTCTAAGACTTGATATATGTTGTACATATATACACAGTATACATAATAGTGTATATATACTATACATCATATGCTTGATGATAGTCTGCAGAAAAAAAAATGTAAAAAGAGGTAACAAAACCCACTCTAACCATCTACATCAATAAGACCTCTCTGGTGTGTACACTGACCTATACACACTTGACTTAGTTCATGGGAGTATTCCCATTGAGCTACAGGGAACTTGATACCATTGCAGAGTTAAACTTACATATAAAAATTTGCAAGATTTAACCCTAATACCTAATATACAGAAAGACAGACCTTGCAGTTGTATAGTAATCTTCCTCCGGTACTGTACAGTACCTTCCCCCATGGTGATAGAAGGTAAGATAACGCATCATTAAGTGAGCATTTTAAAGAGATAAGATTCGTATTTGTTTACCTGCATCACAGTGGCTGAACAGTCTAATTATACTCT